GCAGTCACCTGTGAGTGCTGTATCTGATCTCCCCCCGTTCTCACTTTTGGTTATTGTTAATAAAGGTCATGCTGTATGGGAGGACCACAGTACAGAACTCTAGAACCAAACAAGTCACATACTGAGTAACTGACTACATCACAATGTGTTTCAGCGGTGTGAGTTGAGCTGCAGACTGGTAGAATAAATGGAGATTGGAATAATGTGTTGTAAGAAGAAATTCAAGACAACAGTGACAACTACAAATAGTGTAAGTGCACGTGTTTGTCAAGTAGATGTAATATGTAAAGGTACCTGTGCATGTAGTGTGTAGGAAAGCCGGTAACTATGGCAATGGAGGAGGCGTGGGAGAGTGATAGACAGGAGAGCAGAAGTTCATCCTGAACAAACAAAGCTTCGATCCCTCGTTGACCTGGAGACAGAAGATGATTTACCACGTTTAACACAAAGAACAAACTTTCTGTCATTTTAAAAAAATGTTCTAGTCAGCATCGTCTCACCACAAATACAGTGGTGTGTTATGGTATATTTTATTGTTGTATAAGCAGTGCTTTGGTTTATGCATTTCATATGTTACAAACTGTAGCCAGTAGCAAACACATCAGCTCTTAAGTGAGCCAGATTTTGATTAATCTGAATGACGTTATCATTTCCATATTTAAGTGTGATCGGCACAACTCCAGTATGAATACTGGGCACAATGTTGAGTTGTTAAGCTACTGCCTGCCTGCTGTGCAGTCATTGCAGCAGTTGTCTCTCTGATAGCTAGCTTGCATGCCCCATTATTCCTTAAAGCTGCACTAATCCATTATTTTATGTAAACAATGGAACAAATGTGTAAGGTGAAGGGTGTCCTGCACTGAAAATGATGGCCTAACTACAGTTCCTATTCCCTCTTTGGTTTTTGCATGTTTATGGTCATTTTCCTGGTTTAACAGTCGACAGCTTTACTGTTTTGGTTCAGTTGTCTCAACTCTCGTCTCAAATAGCTGTTAACACTTTGTATGTATGTTTACCTGGGTCCTCTCCAATAATTGTCTCCAACTGTCTGATCTTTGACACTGCCGCCTGAGATGCCAAACTGTACAACAAGGGATTTTGGGATACCTGGAAGCAGACAGGGGTCTGCTCAGGATTGGGTTTGGCACTTTGAGGCTCCATGTTGTCAGAAGGAGGAGTTAGGGGGGCAGGAGTGTCTGGGATGTCCGTCAGGAACATACAACCTGGTGAGTGACTGAATGCCAAGGGAGGCCCTGAAAAACACAGAACTTGATGTTAGTCATTTCAATGAGTTAAGACATTTAGATTCTTATTCATTTATATGAACATGATAAGAAACAGTATCCCAAGCAGAAAGGGTGAGACTTGAGTCTTGATATCTCAGCAGTTTAAAACAACCCTGACATCTTTTCCTGTCGACTGTTAGGTTATTGCTGTGGTTATGAAGTAAATAAAGCTTCAGCCAATCATATTCACTCACTGCTGCTGAGGATTGCCTCTATAGCAGTCACTCCACAGGCCCAGAACACTGGGACGTCACCAGGCTGCAGCTCCACCTGATCTCCATAGTCTGGTCTGGACAGGTCCTGTATGCCCAGAAAAGCTGCACACAGAATAGACAAACACACATTCATGAATTGCACGCCATGTTTTCTTGTCCAGTTGAGGTTATTATCCTGTGAACAGTTTGTGCGTGTACATGTGTGTACCTGGGTCTCCGATGTGTACAGGAGCTCCATGTGCAAGTGGGTTGAGATGAGTAATCTCCACGACGACATCGAGCATAGCAGCTGGAATGGGACGCATAGTGACCACTAGAGGGCAGCTGAACTTTCCGGCAGGAAAACAGTGAACTGCAGTCTGGATGACATGCATGCATGCATGCATGCAAAAAAAAAAGAAGCGTGCATAAGTGCTGTGTGATCTAAAGTGATGAAGACCATACAACTAAAGATATAAACATGGTTCTGCTGACCAACACTTCACTGGTTGTTCACTGTATGTACTGTAAGTATAGATGGTCTATCCCAGACTATTGATTATTCAAACAGACATTTCTATTGTAGTCTGGGAAAAACTATATATTGTACAATCTTATTTTTAATTCTGCCTTGTCTGTCATCGTCAGCTGGGAAGCTGACCTACAAGGCCTACAATAGGTAGCACTTTACTTCTGATGATGTGTTTCTGTCAAGCAGTCTAATCTAGTTCACATCCAATCTAACCTCTTAAAACCAACAACATTTCACAACTTGAAAGGAAATATTTTGTTATAAATTCGATCTTTGTGCAGTCGGGTAACCACTTAAGATATGGATGTTTTCGGTTCTTTTTTCAAAGAAAGTATTGTTGCTTTTGTGCTGTGAACTCGAGCTAAAATAATCAAACAGTTAGCAGATCATAACAAAAATAAATGGCAGCTACACTAACAATTGTGATTAGTCATTTAAATATTTTTTTAGGTAAAAAGCCTCTCAAACACCAGTATGTGCTTAGTGTTTATTTCAGTATGAGTGGTAGAAGAGATTGAAACTACACCTGGTTGTCTTGTACAGTGTCACCAATCACTGTATCTTATTCTTGCACAACAAAATTAAGGTGCCCACTTCATTTCATTTTCCCAGAATTATGATATTTGGCCAAGATGTGTAAGGGACTTGACAAACAGAAGCCAGTCCTGGATACTGAATATCCACAGAGGATGTAATAGTGGTGAGACATTCCTGCTGTCTGATTTCGGATGACCATAGTTTTTTAATTTTATCTCAATATGTCAAACATTCAGGATCTTTGTAGGCATCTGAAATGTACACACCCTGTACATGCTGATATTTCTGCCTTGTTCCACATTCCTGACAGGAACTCCAGCTTTCTTGAGTTTGCCTTCAAAGCCAAAACTGCAGCCCAGATAGAAACACACCATGTCTGACCATGGACCAAGAGGCACAGCCTGCTGCCCTGATGCAGCACTGGGAACAGAAGAACAAGCAATGTCAGGCTGGTAGAATCACAAGGTCGAGTCAAATAACAGTTAAATGTTGTATGGTTGACAAATGCAGCTGTGGATTCACAAATCATGAATGAGTCAGTATTTAAGATTAAACAGTCTTAAAAAATAGTCATAAAAAATAAAATAGTGACAAAAATAAAATTAAAAAGAATAAAAAGTATTTTTTAAAAGCAAAAACAATTAGCATGTTAGGTAAAAAAAAAAATAACAATTGTAAACTAAAAATAAATACTATAAAAAATTAATTAGTAATAGCAAGTTAAGCACTAAAGCAGAACCTGCAGGTTCTTCTTCATTATTTAATTTACTTTTTGTAAAACACCAGTTTTATTCACAGCAAAAACAGTGCCAGAGCATAACACTGCCACCACCATGCTTGATGGTAAGTGTACTTGGTGTTTAAGGCCTCTCATTCTCTCCTCCAAACATTTTCCTGGTTATTGTGACCAAATAGCTTCATTTTTGTTTCATCTAACCGCAGGGCTCAAGGTGCTGCTTCTAGAGGAAGGGCTTTCTTCTTGCATGGCAGGCTCTTACAAATGACGATGTAAAATACACTTTACTGCGGACATTGATATCTGTGTTCTAGCAGTTTCTAATGTATTGCAAACCTGTGTTTTGATGACTCTTCTTTTTTTTTCAGATCTTTGCTAAGAGCTCCTCAGATTTTCCCAATGTAGTGAATCTAATGAGTAATGTAATGTAACGTAAAGTATCAAATGGGCCCTGATTTCACTGGCTCAGAGGAGTCAGCAGCTGTAGTCAATGGTGAAGTCGCTCATGAAAAGTCAGAAGTTAGTCCAAAAATTGGATTAAAACAAGTCATCAATTGTAGACAAAATCTTCAGCTAGAGAACCAACAAACAAACTGTGACAAGCAAAAACTAATTTCAATTTCAATGTAATTTGGTTGAAGGAGGCCAAAGTTCTCAAAACATCACACGATCAGATATTCAGCGTTAAGGTCAAGGACTGGACGGTTTTCATCTGAGCGACAGAAGACATCTTGGTGAGGCCTACCTGCATACAGCATATATTCATACATTTTATTCATTCTTAAGATCAAGATAAATTATTGAACAAAGTCATGATTATTAGTGACTTTACTGCTTTTTCTCACCTGTTTTGGAGTTAATCCAGGTAGGAATATAACTGTTGCTTACAAAGATACATCTATATCCAATAAGATGTCATGACTGAGCTCTCCACATCAAGCTTCCCTGTATGAACTGCATCAAGCTGCTTTTGTCAGCACTCTGTCTCTGTTAAAATACCTTGGTTGATCATTGTAACTCTGCAGACTGGACACTGTCTTCACCAGGCGACCCTCCTCATACACACAGTACTGAGAGACATCTGTCCTACAGACACAGAAAACACGAAGACGTCACATTATTTTTGTTCAGTTGAGATTTGTTGAGTGCACAGACATCAAGATTAAACAGAGGTGGAGATAAGTTAGGTACAAAAAAAAAAGAGTGACTTTATATTATTAAGCGCTATGAGATGACTTGTTGTTGTAAATATGCGCTATACAAATAAAATTGAATTGAATTGAATATATTATCTGAGTAAATAAAATGCATACAGTATGATTTATTAAATATAGTGTGCCCATGACGTTCAGAGGCTTAATCTGGTGGTTGGACTTAAAAATGAAGTAACATGTCTCCATTAAAATATATTCCTAAAGTGACCTAAAGTGGCTGAGATAAGAATGGCAGTGCCATGGAAGGCAAATCTGTACGTAAATACTTTAATTTATAAGGAACAACTGATTGCAGAATATTACGGATAAGGATAATTTAGCACCTCATTTTCGAGTTCATTCTGAAAGGCTTCATGTCTGTCACTGCTTTCTGTGCTTCAATAATCATATTTTGACAATATGTTTACCGTAAGATCACAGTTTAGAAAAGCTATAAGCTAATTTAGCTATTATCTATGGTTGGGGGCAGACTATAAGACTTTGAAGGATCTGCTGCTTCCTCTGTGTCTACATAAGATTGTGGTGCTGAGTTGTAGGTCTCTTACTTCTGGAAGCTCTTGGAGCAAACATGAGAAAATTTGGAAAATAGACTTAAATTGGAGAAAAATTTTCAAGGATGTGTTTACATGTGTATAGACATTAAATACATTAAAACATGAGCCATTACTTGACCTGTGTAGATCAATTGATTGATTAAAATAGAAGCAAATCTGCTTCATCAGGAATGTGTGAGATGACTGAAAAATGTATGGTCAAGAATTTAAAGTTCAGAGGTTAGGAGTGTGGCACATCGGTAAATCACTTTCACCAAGAGAAAAGTCATAAAAGTAAACTGAAACTCAGTTAATATGAAATCTGATGACATTTGTCTATACATAAGTGAATCATTCTAACCATTACTGAGAATCATTTGTGGAAACACAAGAAGCAGACCTACCTTTGCGCTTCACAAAACAAATCATTCAACACAGACTTTGACATTGTGGATGCTGGTCAGTTGTTGTTCTGTTTTGTCATATTGGGTCAAAATACAGTAAAAAATCAATACAAAATGTCTTGCTGTGTGTGTGTGTGTGTGTGTTGTATGTGTGTGTGTTTGCTACCTTATGTCAGCCTGTTTAGCCAGAGGTGGACAGGACGTCTCTCCTGATTGGCTGCGATAAAGGAGCGGCAAAGGGGCGGGATTACTGCGACAGAAGGCTTCAAAGTCATCTGCTAGCTGATTGGGCAGGACGACCACATTTGCCTGCTGGTACCCTGACAAACAGACACATTGTAAGTGCATCATAACAGACACAAACAAAACATTTGCATTAACACAAGCATCAATTTCCATTTCATGTTTTTTTTTTTCAACTTTATGTCTTTTTCTTCAAAAAGTATTAGTACATGGAGGGGCCAATTCAGAAGCTTATGCACTACAGACCCTTTTGTTCTTACAAGAAATGTTTCAGAGGATGAAAAGGGATTCTCTGTCCATGTCTTAGCAGCATGCAGCTGAATCAGGTGGTTCTCAGCTTAAAGACAAAATAAATAAAAATGAAACAATAAAAGGAGGCCAGAAAAGTTCAGCGTGGGAGTGATATAGTGAAGTATATCATTGTTTGGTAAAGCCAGAAGTCAGCCAAATCAGACAGTTTGCCAAGACTGATGAAAGCAAATCAGTGACACTGGCCATGTTCCTGGTGTATTCTTCTGCTTTTGTCCATGCTTCAGTCTATTTCACTGCTTGACTGAGGACTATGATTCACCTGTTCAGAGTAAACGTGTAGAAATAAGCATGTTTCCACATGGTTTCAAATCAGGAACTTTTCACATGAGAGGCAAATGTGCAACCACTGCTCGACACAAACCACAACACATGGGCAGGAAATCTTAACAGGCCAGCTATAGTCTGCTTGAGGACTGGTTCTGTATGGATAGGGTTTCTAAAGGCCACACTGTCCACAGTTTTTAGACTATAAGCTCAGTATTTATTTTCCATGATTACGATGCATTTATTGAGAATTTTTCATCCTCCATACTTGTGTCCGAACGCTTGAAGACAGTTTCTGTAGTGTTATTCTGATGCACAAAAAGTCCTTGATTTGTGACTGGGTAGAAACACATTTTTTGTTTATTCTGAATAACAAAATCTAACTGTTCATAATCCATAAACAATAAGCGATGCTGTGGCCACCATACAGCATCAATATAAAGATAACACAAACTGTAGAAATGTACTCATGCATGGGGTATTTTATATAGTCCGTTACCAAAGTGAGTGTAAATCTGCCCTTGACAGGACACACATGACCTTTAACAGCAGGACGACAGTCTTGGCACTCAGTGTGGCAGTCATAAGTCTTTTTTTCAGTTTAGGACACCCATAAAATATTCCATGCTATAAATTTTCATGACAGCATTTGCAACTCTCACACTATATAGCTGTTATTAGTGTTTACAACACAGTGTTTAAATGGCAAGATTGAACCTAAAAATTGTTTAGTCATTCCAAACTAACCAGTAACGTAATATCCTAATAAAACAAATCCAGTCATTTAGAACTTTACCTTTCTTTGACGAGCTAAAGAAAACCATTAAAGCTCCTCAACAACAAGCAGCTGCTTTGCTTCAGATTCTGCTTAATGTTTGGGGAATCATTTCCAGACCAACACAAACTTGTTGTTTCATTTACAGATAATTAAAATTTAAATAGAAATGAATCAACATTTCAGCCAGAAATGTAGGTCTTTGTATGAAACGATCTGAGATTGCAAGAGTAAGCAGCAAGCGATTCCTGGTGCAGAGTTCCAGTGTCACAGGCAGCACCAGAGGTGATAGACTGGTTCTTACCGTTAGCTAATCCAGTTGTGGTTCTTATCCTGGAATCTTTCTGCCTGATTAACAGCCTCAACTCAGCAGGACTCAGACAACTTAAATTACCTGTGTGCTGCATCTCAGAACACAGGCTTCTACTTAAACTGCAACTACTTGCGTCTCCTCAGTGGACAAAGTGGTGTCCGTGGTTAATCTCCAGTTTTTACCTCTGGTCCAAGGCAGCACCCAATACCTAGGTGGTTGTGCCAGTGCTATTTACTGCCAGGTGTTTTTTCAATCCAGCTACAGGAAAAGAAGACTGTAGTGGTAGAGGAGGGCATGATACAACTCAGTCAAAGTTTGCTTCATCAAACAGTCTGGTCTTCTCTTATCTTTTTCATTACAGTTAATGTTTGAGTGAAGAGAAGTTGGATGTGGTTAATCTTTGAATAGCCCAGTGGTTCAAGTTGGAACAGAAAAGAGAAAAGAAAAGGAGAAGCCCTGACAGAGATGGGCAGAGATGGAAGAGTGTTAAAGAGAGGCATACATACAAAGGGAAATAAGTGAAATGTGATGTTTTTTGCTACTTTGGAGAGATTTGAGAACAAAACATGGTAATTGGATGAAGTTCAGCTTCTATTTCTTACTATTGACTGTATACAGTGTGCAAAAAACATTTGCAGATTTGCAGTCTGCAAATGACCTTTTATTTAAAATCAGAAATTAGAATATGAGTAACATCAGGCACAACTATTTACAGGAATGCAAACTGTCTACCTTTGGAGGATATGCTAATCATAATCTAATTTAACATTATCAAGACTTACTAGAACTAAATTCAAAACCATTCATCAAACTTTCATCAATATTCACAGGATCTGTACAAATTCAAAACACACAACATAAATAATGAAGAAAAAAACCCAAAACACTATTCAGGGCTCCAGACTAACTCTTTCACCGGTAGCACCAGTACGACCCACTTTCTCATTTTGATGCACCTGCCACCTGGTCAAAGGCAAAACATATGACTTGCTGAACATTTTCTTATCGATAGACACTACGATTTACTGATGCTCCCTGAACGCCCTACATAGCAGACTGCAGTGTGCTCTGACAGGTGTGTGACCAAAAATGACTAAAAATCATAAATTAGGGCGTTCTCATGTCACATTTGTCTGAGGTTAAACCCAGTTACATGTATTCTACACGCGGTCTTCTCTACGAGCAGTCTTTTCTCCATTGACAGCGTGGCCAATGCATTAAGCCGTCACAACAGTAGCTGTCATCTAGTAGAAGAGGAGGGGAAAGGCCGTGTGACGTGTCAGAAAGCACAGTCGTAAGAACGTCAAAGGACAGTTTTGATATCCAACCACAGAAGACAAACGCAGAAAAAGACTAAATTAATTGGCTTACAGCAAAAGTGGACGGGTCTGGGACGCACCAAGCTGCGTTCTGAATTAACCAGCCGCCACTGATGACAAATAAACGTTTCTTTTTTTATGTAGGGTTAAACTTTATGTACAGTTTAAGATCCCTGCTGTCTTTACAAGACGTACCATGGTTGTGTATTGCTTTGTTGTTGTTTAACTAAAATGCATTGCGCAGTACATCATACACTGAACATCTGCGAATAGATACGGATTTTAAATGAGTATGAGTAACAAAATGAGACAAATATAAGAACGCTAAGGAGCAATAAGAGGGGTGGACAGACAGTCAGACATCAAGGAGGAGGAGGGGAGACGGGTGAGAAGATGAACACTCTGCTGCTACTCTGTGGCTCAACAAAGGTATTGCTGTAGCTAGTACTCAGCTGAAATGTCCTTTCACTGGAAACATGATCCTACAGAAAAACACTGATCACCTACATAAGCTTTCACAAAACAGATTTTTTTTAAATGTCCAGTGTTTTGGTGACAATGAGTAAATGTGTTGCATATAATCGTAACTAGAAAAGCACTCGGAGAGCACAGACCTCCGCCAAGCAGCTCATTTCTACCATATTGTGATTTCCAGCCAATGTGAAAGTCTGTTAGATTCATGGAAAAACAGAATGGTCGCTCTGTACTCTCAAATATTTTGTAAACTTAAATTATTTCTGCAGTTACTTACTGGCTTTTTTAAAGCTGTTAGCTAACACTATGGTAGGTTGGCAAAACTACAGCGATGTTATTGTTAACATACTGAGGACTGCATGGAGTCGGAGCTCCATCTAGTGGACAAACAGCGCAACAACAGCATTATAAGCGACAGTGACACTTCACAGCATTTACTGTTTTATTACAGAATAACCAGATGGTAAGCCAGAACATCACCAAAATTGAATCGTCTGTTCGTTGTGCGATTATGAACATTTTCTTAAAATTTTATGGAAATCTGTTAATAATTTTTCGAGTTATGTTGCTAACATACAAACCAACAAACCAACCAACAAACAGAAAAATGCCGGCTAAAACATAACCTCCTTGGTGGAGGTAATAAGTGTCAAACATGTGCAATGTGTCAGGCAAAGTAAACAGTCCCAGTGCAAAAAAACCAAACAACACACAAATTAGGGTTTTTAGATTTGACAGACACTGCATGAATAAAGCATTTAAAAGTTACGAACAGCTACATGATGTGTTACATAGTCAGTAAAAAGTAAAGTTACAACTACCATCAGTTAGTTACCCTAAGTATCTGTTACATTAGCAGTTTTCTCCATCAGATGTGAACACACACATTTTAGTAATAATCTTTAATTGGATTTTTTTCTAAACTCAGTGTAATTTTACTTGCAACATATTTATAGAAAAGTCACCTCTTTAGTTCTTGCTTCACTGTCCCTGATAAAAACAGACAACCACATACAAAAAACCCCATAAATTATGCATGTGTTAGTGTTTCACCTTTGTCCATTGCAGAGCTAGAGATGCTTCTGAAGTATCCAAGGTACCGTCTGGCGGATCTCACAGCAGATAGCATGCTTCACCTAAACATCAGACAAAGACAGTGTTGTTGAAATCTTTTCTTTTTTGTTTAAAAATTAAAAATTTAGCTTACAGTAAATCTGTATTTGAGTAACTGTGGATGTCGTGCCCCTCTTTGCTACCTCTCAACCAGCTGCAAAATGTGCATGATTTCTAGATATTGGTGGTCAGTGCGTCTTGCAGTGTGTAATACATAACTTCACACTGAAACAGAGCTGTGGGTCATTGTTCTCTGAGGTTGATATTATGTGATGGTTGGCAGTTCTGGACCAAATACTCACCGTTTTTCATTCAAAGCAAACAAATGCGATGCACTGACAGTACCTAATTAGCTCATAAGATGAAGCTCCATCCACATTGTTGGCACAGTGGACTGGTTGTGGTACCAGAGTAGAGATGATTGCTGTTGACTGATGATGTGCTTTCTCACCTATTTCCTACTTTGAGCTGCAGATGGCACAACTACCTTAATTATATAAGACAGTGTCCTGAGTCCTTCCATTCATCAAAAATTGCAGCAAGGAGGTACTGCTTGTGGTACAGAGATACAAAATGTGCCACCTACATTGAAGTCATGGGATTTTGTCAGGATCTGTCAGTTGTGTAAGATGATGATGCCCTATACAACAATAAACCCAACCATCATGAACACTCACCACCACTGATACCATAAAGACAAGCCATAGGACACCAAACAGTGCTGCTGAAATCATTTTCTATGTTTGTTTCATAAACCAGTGCAAGCTAAAGCAGTAACCAAAGCAACTGGGGACTTCACTGAGATAAAACTAAAGTGAGGGATTTAAAAAGTTCATCCCAGTGCTGGAGTTTAAATTTCATCAAAAAAAAGTACTTTTGTCATGTTGCCATAACAATTAATTTAGAGAGAAACCAGACACACCCGTACAGTTTAAAGCAGCTGACTGTATTTTGCCAACAGCTAGTCTGACTGATCAGATGTATGATGCAGGTCTAAGCTACAGCTTTGTCCTCCTTCTGTCCTACCTATCTGTGTGTTACAGTTTTCTTCACTACGGAAACAACAAAAACTGCCGCACAGCAACGTACCACACAGAAAATGTCAAATATAGCTGAGGATTTGGATCATGCACTAAGGCAACCCTGCCAGTTTTTTTTGCAGTGAACCATCCATTTTAATCACAGTGCTCTTTTCCTTTTTCATTTCATGCAAATGTTCCACCAAAACAATTCCATCTGTCACTATTTCTAGGAACGTCTGAATGACGATCCTTTGTTGAACCCGGCCTTCAACAGCTGTGATTGGTTTAAAGAAGTAACAAACAAGCCAGAGCGTTTTTTCACCCGTAGCAGAATGGGCTGGCAAAGTGACACGAGTTACCAATAGATGTGTAAATCTCCAGCTATTTGCAGCTACAGTATGTCACACCGTTGTTTGATGTCAGCTCCAGTTCACTGGGGTTATAGAAGGACGATACGTATGTGTAATTCTTCTTCTTGCCTATCTGGCCAAAGCACACTTATCCGTTCCAACACTTCATTTCAGTGCAAACCTGTCTTTTAAACTGCAAAAGACAACTACTTTTAAAGGTTTCTGCTACTACTAGAAAATAACTGTTCTGTTTAGTAGGAGTCTTGTCTAGTGATGAAATTAAAATGGAAGCATCCTTCATTTCCTGGATTTTGAACACTTGTCACTTTGGTGGCACTAGACTGAAAGCAGCCTTGTTGACAGTTTGAGAAGAGATGATTTCTCAAGCGCTGACTTAGCCTTGGGTCATTCTGTATAACTGGCAGCTATATTTGAAAGTAAATTTTGGACTAATTGTCTCTCATTTCTAATATAATTGAAGTTTAAATTGCCTCAATACAATTTTGATTTAGAATTTTTTATTTATTTATTTATTTAACTTGATTTTTAAACCAGTTTAAAAATGACTTTAATATAATAATCACATATGACTTTGCTAATTCAATTTCTTTTTTGCTTAATTAGGTTAAAAGATTGATCTTGCTACAGTGTGTCATATTGCACTGATTCTGACTGCCTCCAGTTCAGCAGGAATTTCTCTCTATTGTTTGTTTAAGCCACCACCTAACTGCAACAGAATTAACGCATAAGGTTTCTTTGCGCTTTTTGGAGTCTTTGGGTGAGCTGCTGTCGATTCAGTGTTGTATCAGCTGAAGAAGAGGAAAGAAGAATACAAGCAGGCCAAAGAGACCAAACTCAGGGAGGTTGAGTCAGGTCAGATAGACGGAAGGGAGGTCAAATCAGGTCAGACAGAAGGAATGCGCATGCGCATGCGCACACACGCACACACACACACACACACACACACACAGACCAGCACTTTGCACTCATAGGCAGACCATCCCCCTACAAAATAATGGCAGCAGCTGCAGCATATAGCAGCTAAACAACGGAAACGTACGGACATCCAGAGAGTGGGACATGTTAGTAGAGAGGTTTTCCTTTACAGAGCGCAGATGCTGTGGATTGGATGAATCGTGTGCCAATCATGTGCCACGAGGTATAGACATATCTGTGCACCAACGAAGGGAGAGCTAAGTTTAAACCACGGCTCCTCCCCAACAGATAGCCATTGACATTTCACTTTAACAGTTCAGTGTCTGTGTTTAGTAGCCAATCACCTTGCACTACACTGAATAAACTGTTTATGCTCACATGAAGCTGCATTCATTGCTGGGGAAGTTGGTTACAGATTAACAGTTTGCTGACTGATTTTCTGAATCAATAATGGATCCTTGATCAAGTAAAATATATTGCAGAATAAATAACGCTAAATGAGAGAAGTTGTTTGTCTTTTATCTCAAAAGACAACTAAGACCTTTTATGCTGGATTTTCCTTTAATTTGTCACCTTTCTGTATAACTGAATCTGTAAAAAAAAAAAAGATAAATGGAAACTTGCAAACTAGTCACAATCACGATTTTGGGTTTACACAATAATATGAACATGACATGATATGAATATGACCCTAGAATTCTCTATTTTATTCTTTTTAAAGTCTCACACCTGTCTGAGTGGGTGTAGGAGCCTAACAGCTTCTATGGCAGCCTGCAATGTGAGGCGTTCAGGAAACAACAGTGAATTATAATGTCTGTTTATGTGCAGATGTTCAGAAAGTGAGGTGTTTAGTCTGTGCTCAGTTTTAAGAAGTGATGTCTGACAACCTCCAGAAAAGGACTGACGACAAAATTAATATATTTTCTAATTAGTTATTTTTTTACAGATCAAGTCATTGTCAGTCTCTACATGAAGGCAAAACTGTGGTGTGCAAATTAAGATTGTTCTTTAAGACTCTTCATCAGCATAAAATGTTAACTGATGGGAGGTGAGACCACATCATGTCTGGATTTGTGTGTTTTGAAATGCTATTAAACATATCTTTTTGGACATTTTAGAGCTATAGCAGTGTTTGCAGCTAACTGAATCATCAAGCAAGTGGTTGCATTATTTTATTGTTATTCTGTGTTGAGATGATGTAAATATTGTCAGTATTGGTTGAATATCTTTCAAATACATTTCTTTGTTGTTTTTTCACATTGCTAAGACGACAGAAACGGGGGGGAAATGGGCATTAAATAATCCCAGTGGACATACATGAGGGGGTCTCTGGTGTTTATTCTGCATGTAAGAGGTCGTCAATAAAAGAAAATGGAGAACCAAACCTTTGATAGTCAGTTAGCTTCCCACACACACACCGGTCACAGAGGACACGCTGAGGAGCTACATTTATGCAGGAACCGCTTCTTTAAAACACAGCCCTGTTATGTTAGCCAACCGAATTATCCGTGGAACACTAAATACTGCTTTTACTCTGATATCTGTAACGTAACAAATAGAGGACAGCGACACAACTTCGGGTCACTACGAAGTTTGCTACAGAGCAGCTAGTTAAACACTTGGAACCGTGACTCGCTGGTTTATGTCTCGTTTTTATTTGCTGTTTTCCGTTTATTGTGTTCATACCTTCTGCCGAGCTCCTCCAGTGTTTGGGAAGAGATGGGAGCCTGACAAATACCCCTTATCCACCAAAAAGAAGCGAAACCTGCAACAAACGGATGCGCTCACTGAGCCGCGCTGCGTCGCCCTTCAAAATAAAAGCTTCAGTGGACCAAATTGTTTTTTGTTTGTTTGTTTGTTGTTTGTCATTCACTCTCAGAATTTGGCTATGTAGGAAAAAACCGCCATGTAGAAGTACATGACAACTCGTATACAGTGTGATCATCTTTTTAATGTTATTGTTAATTGATTCATCCATTATCTATACACGAGGGTCAAGGGGGGGCTGGAGTCTATCCCAGCTGACTCAGGGTGAAGGCAGGAAACACCCTGGACAGGTAACCAGTCTATCACAGGGCTACACTAAGAGACAACCAAGCACACTCACATTCACACCTACAGACAATTTAGAATCACCAATTAACCTCAACATGTTTTTGGATTGTGGGAGGAAGCTGGAGAGAACCCACGCTGCACAGGGAGAACATGTGAGCTCCACACAAAAAGATCCTCTCCGCATACCACTTTTGGAATTCCTGATGTAGCTTAATACAAGTGACCACAAGGTAATGAATGTTTTTCAGAATGATCACACATTTGTGACTGTTAGGAAAATTCTTCAGTGGAGTCCGAGCTGCTCCAAATCAATACACAGAGTCCTCTCTTAAGTCAAAGCAAAGTTTTACTTGCAGCAAGGAGCAACATGTACAGCACAGAGTCTGAACAAGTGACTAACTAAAAGCACGAAGTACTGGTTTTTATATACAGAAAACAGAAGACAACCTCCTGCAAATGTGTGCGTGTAGGCATGGCGCTTTGACTACCTGCTAAGGACGTCTTATCTCACACTAACAAGGTGAAATAAAGGCAATGAACACTTACAGCATTCTCACACTTTTCACAAAGATCATTGGATCATAACATAGAATTATTCTAACATTCCCTCCTGTTTATGATTACAATGTTCTTTGTTTTCAAATGCTTTCACATGTGGGTACAAAACCCCCAAGACAGATATTAACACTAGGGGAAACCATCCACATCGTCCTGCTATCTCTCAGCGACGTCTCATGTGGAGCGTGTCAACATCTCAGGAGGCGACATGAAAAAAGGAGAGAGATGAATGATTAGAGAGTGTCAAAGAAGAGAAACACAAAAATTATATTTGTGATGAACATGTGGTTATATATGAGCATCATTATTAGACTAGCTGGTGACAGGGTCACTATTTTGGTTTGTAGGAGTAGCACCGAAACTGCGTGTGGTACCTTTACTGTGAGGTTATGAAACAGTACAATCGGTGCAGACGCCTTAATTGCCATTTCTACTGCTATCACTACTTGTAGGCACGGTGTGAGTGCTCTGGACACGCAGTCTAATTTCGAGGAATAGTAGGCTACTGGTTTCATTTTATCTCCATAGGATTGCATCAGCACTGAAGTCATATGGCCTGCTTTACAGTC